TATATGAAGAGGCTGAGATAGATAGATAGATAGACAGGCAGACAGACACAGACAGATAATGGACGGACTGAAATGGACAGAATATATGAAGAAACTGAGGTATATAATGAAAAGACTGAAAAAGCTATCTAGCTATATATATCTGAAGAAAATAAGATGGATAGATACATTGACAGATAATGAACAGACTGGAATAGATTCAAATGGACTCGAATTTCTCTCTCTCTCTCTCTCTCTCTCTCGATCTCTATATATATATATATAACTATATACAATATATAGTCTATAGCGCGATATATCGATATATATATAGATAGATAGATAGTGTGTGTATGTGTGTGTGTGTGAATGTAGATAGAATATCTATGAAGAAAATGAATATAGATAGATATATAGCAGACAAAAGACAGATAATGGACGGACTAAAATGGACGGAATAAATATATAGAAAAGAATGAGTTATATAATAGATAAAACTGTCTGAAAAAGCTATAGACATATATATGTGAAAAGAATAGATAGATACACAGATGTTGATGAATAATAAGCAGATTTCTAGCCCCGTAATGGCACAAAGGCAATAAATGGATAGAGTGGGTCTAGATAGATAGATGATAGTGGATAGATAATATAGACAGAGTAAAATGGACATGTATATGAATGGACAGAATAAACTTTGGTATATAATGAACTGAAAAAGCTAGCTGGATAGACATATGAAGAAAAAAGTGGAAATAGATGATATATAAAGAAAATAGAACAAACTAAAAAGCTAGCTAGATAAGATAGATAGATAGATAATGTGAAAAAAGTTAAATAGATGAATCGATTATAAGAAAACAGACTGAAATAGATAGATAGATGAACAAGATAAAAAATAGATAGATAGATTGATAGAATGGATAATTTTTGCTAGCTAGCTGGATAGGTAATGAACGGACTGAAATAGATAAGATAGATAGATAAGCGGATAAATAGATTTCAAGATTCTGAGATATGAATGAATGAAAAGCAAAGAAATGAACCTAGTTAGAAATGCAAGGGATATATTGATATAGGTAAATAAATAGATATGAAACGAAACCCTAGACGCATGTATACTAGTGATTGATTGAAGAAACATGTCTACACAAAGTAGATTATGAACTGTTGAAAAAGCTAGCTGCGTTAGACATATTTCGAGATATACTGCGACTCGCTAATGCCATTTCGAATCGAAAACATCTTTGATGTTTATTCATTGTTACACAATATTTGGATATTGTTGAATGTACATTTTCTAAAGCGTAACACACACGAACAATACACACACACGCGTCATGCATGCATGGATAGCCAGCTCGATTATATTAACAGCGAAAAGCATGTAATTTTCTTTCTTTTTCTTTCTTTAGATTTCTAGATTTTCTTAATTTCTTGAAATTTCTTTCTTTCTTTCTGGATTTCTAATCTAACGGATCTAATAGATAGATAGATAGATGGATAAATAGATTTATAAGAAGAAAAGAATGAATGAATGAAAAAAAACGAAATGAACCTAGTTAGAAATGCAAAGGATATATTGAAATAGATAAATAAATAGATATGAAACAATTCCTCTCTCTCTCTCTCTCTCTCTCTCTCACTCACTCACTCTACACACACAGTTTG